TCGAAAAATAACCGCACGAATTGATGCATGCACCCAAAAACAAAAACAAATTAAGAGCTACCAAAAGACCGAAGTTTTGCTAATCCTCTGGTATGATGCAAAGCGATGATAATCCGGTGACTTGCGGACTTCTAGCTAAACCATAAACATATGCATTTGCATACGCGTATATGCCCATATATGAGTCCATATATACATATATATTTTAATATTTTAAATTATAGTAAAAAGTTGCATATTAAAATAATTACCATATTCGAGCGCCACCAAAAGCACCACCACCACAAAAACCCACCTACAGTTGCATAAACTTTTAACAGTGCAGCTGATGCAATGTCGCCATCAACTTTACATTGTAGAGCGGCAACAAGAGCAACAAAAAAAGAACATCAGTCGACACCAATGCCAGCCGTCAGTCTTCTCAGCCGTTTTAATTTACTTTCAGGCGAAGGAGAAATAAAATTAATTTGCAACTGACAAATTTGCATGCGTTGATGTGCAAACGCCACCCACACACACATACATACATACATCCATACGCCACTTACATGCTGACTGCTTGTCAAAGCATATTTGCATAAGTGATTTACCTACACACACACACACATCGACTATGTCATCCTCACTGCTTGACGCATTTAAATATGTACATACATATGCTCGTATATCTCATATATATGCAAACATGTATGTAAACTGCTAGTAATTAATTTGCCTCACCCGCAAACAAAAAACGCTGGAAATAAGAAAATGAGAAAAGTCATTTTGTTTGCACTGCTGATGGGCGACACAGTCTGAGTGGTGCGGGCGCGAGTGCGGGTGCGGGTGCTGCAGAGCCGCTGCCAAAAAATATGCAATTTCGTGCAACGACAAGACAAAAACGCATAAGAAGAGGGGGAGGGAGAGGAAGAGAAAGTGGAGAATTTGCTAACGAAATTTGTGACAACGCAAAGACGCGGGAAAGTTCAACAAGAAAACAAAAGAAGTGTGACGCGCGCGCGCTGAAGGGGCGAGGAGGCAACAGCGCTGGATGAGCGGCGAAGCGACTATTGTGCGAAGGAAAATATCTTATGCAATATTTACGAGTATATGCAGTTGTGGGGAGCTTTTGTATGCTACAAATATACATATAATATATATGTTTGGGCGTGCTAAAAATGTATGTTTGTATTTAAGGCAAACGCTGACGCGGGCGCATTTTGTTAAATTAATTACTAACGGCATGCTTTTGCATACATCAAGTCACTGCATATTTACACAAACACATACACACAGTCAGCGAACCCGTCGCATACACATACACACTTATAATATGTATGTATCGTACATATCTGAGAAACATGCATCAAACAGTTGCACACGCTGCTTGCTGCGACTACTTATGCTGCAGTGGAATTATATAATTTCAACAGTTTTTTCAACTTAATAAAATATACTGGCTTTTTAATTTTGCCATTTTTTTTCATTTAAAATATTTTTGCCTTACAGTAGTCTGCCTTTCGGCGCTATCATAATTAATTACGCTCTACACCGGGTGGCATGCATAAAAGTGTGTTGCGTGTGGAAATGTAAATGCAAATACGTGTGCAAGTGTAATTGAAATTCAAACTATCTTTGACAGCGATTTTGTGAATTTTATTTTTTCCTCTTTTTTTTCTGGGTTACTACCTTTTTAAAATTAAAATTCTCGCATATCTGTATTGTACTATTGGCTGTAATTACATATGTACATGTGTATCTACATATTTTCAAGCTTATTGGTAGTGTTCCTCATTTAATTATTCTCGTTTTTATTAATATTCCGCAATATACTTTGTCAGTTTTACACGCTTTTCCGTTTTCATAGTTGACAAACCGCGCACGCATATTTTAATTACATTAACTTCCATGCCATCGTTAGTACTGCCGCAATGCAATAAAATGTGCTTTATATATACATATGTACACGTTTAAGTAAAGAAAAAAAAAACAATTTATATGCTTTGTCCCACTGAAAAGTAGACTATTCAAAATTATAGTTGAAATTCTATTCCTTGTGCACCTGTATACGCTCGCCCTCTCCAATTGACTTTGCTCCGTGTGACTTGAATCATTGAAAATATATGCTTTTCGTTGTGGCTCGCCGTATGTCAGAATATTTAAAAGAAATTAGAGGAGTTTGAGTTCGTTTTGTATTGATTGCATACCGAGGAGTACTTCCTCTAAACTACCTTCGCATAGGCAAAAAGGTGCTCAACAGCTCCAAATGCTTCATTCATGACTGTCCCAAAGAGGCTGTAGTAAGTATTAAGTGGCTATACATATATGTAATACTTATGTTGCTGCTATTTTTGTTACGGCAATATATGCATCTATTGACGGGTTGTGATGTGTTATCTTCATATATGCAATATGCGATGAGTTGTTGTTAAAATAATGCACGTACCAAAAGCCTTACTTTAGGTTCGTCACTAATTCCATAGTTTTCCAATCAAAATTTTGTTAATTATAATTACAAAAATCCTTCAGTGATTCAATCATTTCGAGAAAATATTTTGTATTCAACTTTTGGTCTCGCTTACCGCGGTTCAGACTTTGTTTAGTAGCAAAAACTCACATAGTGTACTTAACCCTTTTCAATATTTTCGTTATGCAAACATTGCCCGAGTTGAGTTATTTTCGTGTAAAATAGTTTATCTTCATTGGCAGCTGCCGCTCATACTGCCACAATTAACAGGATGTGGTATTATTGACATGTACGTACATGTACAAACATGAAAATTTTTCCTACCGCACTCGGACTTTAATTTTACTAGTACCGTAAAAATCCTGTCAACTGCTCGCATTGGTTGCTCGCTTGCTTGGCCTTCACATTTTATCATTATAGAGTAATAAATTTTACAGCAACATATTTAAGCAGCACAGCTATATGCACACGTGTAAATATGGGTATACAAGCACCAAAAGTAGAGTCCAATAGCAAATCTGTTTTACAAATGATTAAAAAATTACTCATACGCCGTGACGTCGTTGAACATACGCACCGCATATGTACACTCTCCTGCTCCGCTCACTCTGTCTGTCAACTGTTATGCTGTCTGCTGTTACCGCTCGCTATCTGTTTACCGCTCGCCACATACACTTAAACACTCGTCCATTTATGTGCTCCTCCATATTTCTCAGTCGCCAACTCACCTGCACACGAGTACATACTCCTTTACTCGCTAGCGCGCTCACTAGCTTCGCTCGCTTACTTTGCCCACTTAACATAAACACTTATTAAACGAGTGACATTTTTTTAACATTAAATTAATTGCGACTTGTTATTACCGTTGACATTTTCGTACACCAACTAAGTAGCATAATTGCTGTTGTTCTTATTGTTGGCTTCTGTGTGTGTGTGAAGAATTGTATTAAATTGCAAATAGCGGTGGCCTACCATTAACTCAAGCGTTGGAAAGAAATTTTAATTTACATAAAATGAAAACAAAATATGCGAAGGAAAAAATGCAGCGAAATGCAATGGCAACAGTTGTAAAATTTACAACAACCACAACACTTATGTATGCTGTGTGCTTACATGCATAGCAGTGTAGTCAAGCATAATAGCAATTCGCAAAGCTGACAGTCAACAGAAAATATGACATTTTCGGAATTTATTGCTTTTTAATAATTTAATACACTCATCGCTCGCCACGGCGATGGTCATTTGCTCAGTTGCTGTAGCAAATGTCTGTTATGTAGTATATATACAAATATATATATATATATATATATATATAGGCAAAAGTTTATGTACACAATTATTCATAAAATCCAATAACTTCCAATAAGAGTGTTTATGGTTTTCAAAGTGGCAATTTACTTAACTGTCTTCGACAGCAGGGAGCTACCTCTCTGCGGCTAGCTCCGAATTTGGTATCCTCTACTTTTTATATATTTCTTTCTTGTGTTAATCACCTGCAAAATCCCACCAGATCGGACCAGATTTTACTTATTTTCGATATCCAAAAAAAAAATCATTTTGATACGAAAGACTATATAAACTCTCAAACTCCCTGCAACCGATGTTTCAGATATGAGAACTATTAATATTAAATCATAAACTGAAATACCATCAGTTTGATATGATCAAGAAAGGTATGAGACTCCGGACGCCTTAGCCATCTTGTTTATTTTTGAATTTTTTGTAATATTTATGTCTTACGTAGAATTCATTCGGTGGAATTATCCGATCCAAAAATGTTTCATACCGGCTTAGTTCTACTGGAAGAATTCCGGTATACATCCTTTTATTTTTGGCATCTCCTCAAGCCATATGCCATGAGCACGAGCCCGAGTCTTCGAACTCACTGCCTCACAATTATGCTTATTATTATACCTATCAACAAATTACAAGAGGAAGATTACAAGAGGAAGAACAAGTGAAGAACTTTTGAAAGAAGATGCTGAAGAAGAGCTACCCATGATTGCGGTGGAGCGGAGAGCTTCAACCTAAACCTCACTGTGATTTCGGTCTTTTGTTCTCCTGGTTATACGTTCTGATTTATTTTTTTCAAAAAGGGTTTCCACATAAAATACATTTGAGAGAAATCATTACATTTTTTCGTTGGAAGTCACCCTTGAACTTTAAAAAAAAAAACTCAATTTATGCACTACAAATATACAAATGTCATAGGGAGATAGCTTATAGTGAACATAAAAATTAATATTACGAACATAAATTTAATAAATTTCATATTGAACTTTTATTATTTGAACAAGTATACAAACATACATAAATACTGAGAAACATCCTCCAGGGATCACATTGATAATTTGATAGTATATCCACACCAGTATAAAGATGTGCAAATGTGAAAAAAAGGAAAATATTTTAATATCAATTTAATAATGAATGCGCTCCAGTCTTTTACACATAATTGTTATGTAGATATTCCCCATGTTGTTGTAATTATTTAATTTTCATATTTTTCACACTAATATATATATATATATTTTTTTTGTTTTTTACTTTACAGAGCCATTCACCGATTACCGCGTTATTGTGCAAGCGTTCACAATGAAAAACGAAGGCAACCCCTCCGATCAAATAGTCCAACGCACCGATGTCGCCGGTCCGAGTGCACCGTATGTGGTTAACCTGACGTGTCATGCAGAGAATGCCATCGCCATACGTTGGCGGCGACCACACGAATTTTACAACACCATCGATTTTTATATAATTAAAACGCGTGTGGTGGGTCAGGACTCCCATCGGGATATACGGATCAATGCGTCGGCAAAGGAATTGGAAACGGCGGTAAGTCAATACTTGTAGTGTTGGAATTATGTGTGGTTTTGTACATATTTATCACATATATGTATGTATATATGTATATGTATTTAACAGACAGAGAATGTCAAATTCTCCGTAAGTATTTTTGTGACATGAAATATAAGCTCTTCGTAAAAATACTTCGTCATCGTCGTCGCAGCCAGTTCGAAACAGACCTGAGCTCGAGAAAACTTTAGCATCTACCTATCTGGATGCACGAATTACATATAGGCCCAATTCATCCCACGCCCTGCTGAAATCGAATATTTAAATCATCATTAAACGGAACTCAATCGAACGTAACAGATATGCTAATTTTAATGAGGTCTAAGGTCTAACTAATGGAATGGCATATGTGCAGAAATAGTTCTACCTTTCCTTATAATGTAGACAGTCAAATAGCTCAGCAGCTCGAAAATTTCAAAACAAATTTTGGGTAGTAAAGCAGTGAGCGAGTACCGATTGTTAATCGAGCTGTTCGCGCTGCTCGATACTCGAGTATGCCGAATTCTCTCGAAAATAATTGGCAATCATCACAGTGGAGGCATTCCGACTCACCAATATGGAAAATAGCTCGACAAGCGGTGTCGAACGGGAAAATTATACTCATTGTGTTAGGAATGTGAGAATAAAGTAGATTTATGAATAAAACAACTTCATGGCTTTTGCAATACGATAATGCCGCTACTTACAATTTATTCTTTGTATGTGAATTTCGGAGCAGAAATAAAACTGTAACGATGCCACCGTCTCCATAACCGCCAGACATGACACGGTGTGACTTTTTCCTATTTCCAAAAATAAAGACTACCTTGAGGAGCCATTGTCTTAATGCCGTGGATAGCGTTAAAAGTACATCGCTGAACTTGAACTGAGGGCTACCTAAAAGGCCTAGATCCAGGGGTGTATCAGGGGTTGCGCATAATCTCGATTGAGAATATCATCGAAGCGACTAAATAGTAAAAGTAAATAAATATTAAAAAAGAACCCACCACCTAACTTCTACTTATTAAAGCAAAATTAAATTTTTCGACTGAAAAATACTTAACATGCAGAATAAAAATATTTTTCGAAAAATCAATTTTTTTCGTATAAAAATTTTTATACAAAATTAACAAAATCTTGTGTCGTTAAATCCAAAACTACAAGTAAATATATATGTATTTGAATAAGTAATGAAATACATTATTGTCTTAAGTGTCAACGTGTTTTCGTATATACACATACGAGGGTTCCTACCCTAGTGTAGCAATCTGACAAGTGACAACTTTATGGTAAAGTTTGACATTTTTAATGTGACACAGACACAGACTGTTTTGACATAAGAGCGTTATATGTGTTGCTTGCAGTAAATTCAAATATTTAGCTCAGCTAAAGTATGGAATAAAATCGCGCGAATATTCGAGCTATAACTTACAGCATATATCAACTCAGCAAGAGCAAGTCGATGCACTTAATCCAATTTTTGGAGATGAAGCTCCATCGATAACCAGTGTTTATCGATTGTTTGGTGAACTAATTCTAGGCCATAAATCAGTTCAAGCAAATGGTCGCATGTTTTCTTGGAAAAACTGAGCATATCGCAGCAGTTCGACTGGAACAACAGCGAAACAGTAAATTCTGAGTGATATGCAATCACTTGTTTGCCAATTGTCTTTCGAGAAATCAGGAAAACCAGCTGCCGAAGATAGATCACTCCACACCACGACAATGCGAGCTCTCACACATCCACAGAAACAACTGCATTTTTGAGCAATAAAAACATCGATTTGAAGAGTCATCCACCGTATCGTTCTAACTTGGCACCAAATGACTTCGTTTTATTTTTCGTCATCTATAGATGGAGTTGTTGTATACGGGATTCATGTTTTAGAGACACTCCAATCAGCATGGTAAAAGTGCTTAGAAAATTGGTACTTACTGGAGAGTATTTTGTGGAACAACAAATCGATTTCTGATGCTTGGTATTGGTTTTTTTCTAGCCACGAAATATAATATCAAAGGCAATCCTCGCACCCTCTGATTGCGCATTTTTCAGCTTTGAAATCATTTGCAGATTTTTTAAATTTTTGCATTTACTTTTTCGTCATGTGAAAGGCAAAATTTGATAGAAACCAAAAAATAAAATTTTCGTTTTACCTACCGAAGGTATTTAGAGGTTTATACTGCCAATGGAACGCATTATACTGTACATATGGGTGTACATACATATGTACTAAGAAGAAAATACATATTATGCTTTCGGATTCTTTTATGTATATTTATAAGATAATTTACATTTCGAAATTTTTTTTTTATTAAAAAAATATATTTTTTCTACTCTCCTTACAGATGATACTACAAAATATAACCACACATACGGAATATGAAGTCAGAGTTGCAGCTGCTACAATGAGCACCATAAATCAAGGGAAAATGGTGCTGGGTAAATTTTCCGAATCGAGAAAGGTGAGTACATAGCAACGAGAGAATATCAAAATTTGTGGTGAAAGTAAAAAAACACAAAATACGTATGACGAGTAAATCAAATATTAAGTAACACAGGGTTATCCATTTTGCGGTTTCGAAAATAAGTGCAAATAAATTACATTTAAATATTTTTTTTCTTCAAATATCCTCTTTGTTATAATGCTTGAACCTTGGTATTTTATGTGGCATACAAACATCAATCACCAAATCGGGAATTTTTCCAAATATCGATCCGCTTGAGGTAATTTTCGTTCACTTTTTGGCACTTATTGGGCGTTCTCAAGTGCTCAAGAGTCAAAATTTTATTCGCAAAAATACGGTCTTTCGCGTCTCGGTGGCCAATTGACATTGTCAAGGCGAGAGATTACGCTGCCGGGAAATTACTCTGGCATTAAAGCCATGTAGCATTGCCTTGCTGAGTCCAAATATATAAGTTGTGGTGTTCAATTGCTGGCCTAAAAAGTATCTTACCTTACGACCTTAACACTCCGAATTGACAGTGACAGTCAAAGTATCACGCCTCCGGACCAAAGAACGCACTTGACAGTAAGTTCTTTTTTGGATGTACTGGGGTCTCTTTAGTTATTTCAGCATTCCCGGAGCCCCAATTACGACAACTTTCTTTAATTGCAAATTCCTCGAGTGAGAAATATGCCTCGGCGCTGAAACAAATCTTCAAGCACACGATCGACGTTTGTGCGCATTGTGAGTAATCAGCGGACTTCAGTACTGGTGTAAGCTGGACCTTATATGGATTTAGGTGTAAAGTCAAGTGCGAAATATGCAATAATGTGCCCCAAGAAAGTCTCAGCTTTAGAGAACTTAGAGAAATAGACACTTTTCCTTACGGTAGCAATATTTGAGTGATAACGAGCGGAACGATGATGTCTACAATATCTGTTACCGATCCAGTATCTTGAAATTTATGTAGAGATTTATTATTTGATTCAGCAGTTTGATGATTAGGTGTAACATAATCTCTTCTTAATGCAAGATACGGGACCACACTTGAATCAGCATTTTTGGAGCAGGTTTTACAAATTTTACCACGGAAGTTGTTAATTTTCATTAAATTTTTAAGTAAAACAAAACAAATTTGGTTTAACTGTTAACTTTTAGGTATATCTAAATGTAGCTCTGCACTGTTGAAACCACGAATTGGATAACCCCTTGTGAAAAAATATAAAGAATACCCAAAAGTTATGTAATTACGGAAAAAAATGCATTCTTATGAATGAATCTACTTCACTCAGAAACTATAGTTGTGTTGCCACATAAATATGTATGTATTATGGCACTTGCAAAAGTTCACATAGTCAGGCAAACGAATATGCTGAAACTTAACTTAGACGAACTTACTTTAGATACAAGCAAAAAAATCTTATTTAAAAATAAGAAAAAGAAAAAATTAAAAATAAGACAAAGATTCAGTTTCGGAAGGTAGCTGCCCCAAACACTGTCATTCACTAGTTCACTAGATAAATACATACATATGTAACACTCATATCTCTGTGTCTTTCACACCATCAGCAATCCTTATGGAAGCTTATTCCCCCCCCCCCCCCCCTTTTGACTTCTTTGACACACAAGTATAAATACAGTGTTCGCCAACGTGTTCCTATCTCTCAGTGATATCAACTACTTGTCTGAAATAAATTTCAACGCAAAGCTCGCTTAGCTTATTGTACGTTTGTGTAGTGTGTGCATGCATGACAAGGATACTAAAGTTCTTGCATAACACAACGATATTAGTTGGAGACAAAAAAAAAAAAGAAATGCAGGAAAATAGAAAATTGAGAAATAGCAGTAAAAGTGTGAAAAACTGCAGTTCAAACGGCATAAAGTTGGCAAAAATATGGATAAAATGTCACGCCAACTAAACTTCGTTTGGCTTTGTTTGTCACTACTATTTTTATCCTTTCGTCTTTTTTTATAGTACTCAATTTTTTTTTTACAAAAAGAGCTTATATTTGCTTAAGTCTAGGAAATATGTGCATTTCGTAGATTTCTCTGAAAGAAAAATATAATTCTTGTTATTTCACTCTCGCAAGCTGTCAGCAATATTTGGGTCATCAGACACACGCTTTTGATAAACATTTCAATTTTTACTTTGAAATATGTTAATAGTTAGAAATGTAGGAAGGCGAAATAAAATAGTATGAGTTAAATATATTCGAGACATGTTTTTAAAAAATTACTCACTGGATATGTACCCTCTTTCGGCGTTATTGAAAAGAAGCAGAGAAGAAGAACTTTCAGTTTTTGAACAAAAAAGTATTGATTCGCTTTTACTGGTGTTTTTTTTTTCAATATCTTCCACAAAACACTTTCCATACTCTATCTTTGAGATAGTCTATAGTTCATACAGCGATACGCTTTTAATGTCATCTGCGACCCCTTTAAGATTAACTTTATTTTTAGATTTCGAAAATAATCACTCGGAGCCATGTTTTGATTAATATGGCTGCTTTAGTCTTGTCGTAAGCTTCATTTACTGACTCCTGAACAAGTTCCTTTCGCGACTGTTTGTGTTCAAAATTCAACAAATTTGGTAAAAAAAAAAATTGCCGTTAGGCGTTTCTTACCCAAAATACTGAAAAAAGTCTCTTGCAATAATTCAATCGATATGACAACATTATCAGCGATCTCTCTAACTGTGATTTGACGCTCTTACGAGTACATAATCATTCCGCACACTTTTTCCACATCGTTCGGTCGGTGATGATGACCTGGGGCAAGGACAGCGTTCATCTTTGGCACACATAGCAGATTTTGCACACTTCCATTTCTTACTCAAAATTTTATTAAAAATTGTTTGATACATAACTTCAGTGGCTGACACAATTAAAGGCAACAACGAAAATCGAGGTCTCCAAGCCAGCGAAATTTGAAAAAGTTATCCTTTTTTTTTAAATCTACCTCGCAAACCTTCGAAAATTGTCCGATATATACCGACTATTGCGGGACGGTTGTGTGTCTTCAACCGCATATAGGCAAAGGCCAGATTATTTAAGGGGGAAGTTGGTCTAGAGCACAAGAAATGTTCATATTTTAAGAATTTATTTTGATTCAACAAAGGAATCAATCCGAAATCTGTGAAATACGAGGTGTGTTCAAAAAGTATCGCGAATTCTGATTTTTCGCGGGTTACGTATAATCGAATTCCGATTTTTTTGTGGCGTTATGTTGGTACTCATGTCTGTCACAAATGCCGACAAGCTCGGCCATTTTAAATGTTCACTTAATTGTTGACAGCTGCTTTGCTTGCACGTGTTTTGGATGGTCTTCGATTTTTACCTATTCAAAAAAATGGATCAAAGAACCTGTATTTGTGTGAAACACGAAATTAAGTGCGCGGTTGCATTCCGAATGTTGACTATGGCATACGGAGAAGCTACCTTGGACCGAAGCAATGTTTATCGGTGGTGCAAAATGTTCTCAGAAGGCAGGGAAGATGTGAACGACGAAGAGCGCGCCGGACGCCCGAGCACTTCAACAATAGAGGAAAAAATTAATGAACTATAGAAAATGGTATTGCCACAGAGTAGAACGGTCAATAAGGTATAATATAAATAAAAAATAGATATTCGTGAATAAATAAATAATTTTTGAAAAAAAAACTGAAAATTCGCAATATTTTTTGAACACACGTCGTTGGTTTAATAATATAGGTTTCATGGTACAAATACAAATTTTTTCGTGTGAATTAATTTCAAAATGGCCGCTGTACAGCATTACTCCGAAGACGCATTTCTTTCTAATGAGTCCATGGCCGAGGATGTAAACTCCTTAATTTTTGTCCTGTATAAAAAAATTAAATTTTTTATAGTTTTTATATAATAACAGCATAAGACGTGGTAGGGTTTTTTCGACATTTTGTTTATTTTTCGAGAAAAGGTGCACGTTTGAACAAAAAGTTACAATTTCCACTATAAAAAACGACATAAAAATGTTGAATAAAAAAAAATTGTGTAATATAAAAAAAAACCTATGTAAGTCTTCGAAGGACGGTATTTCGAATTTACTGTCATAATTGAAGATTTGTTCGAGTTATGTCATCGGCCAGTTTAAAAAAAAATTGATTTCGGGGAAAAACGCGTTTAAAGTTAAGCGGCGCTCGGGGTATGCCATCGAGGCACTGCCGTCGAATGAAAAGTTTGGGCATTTAGACATTTTTGCCGGCATCCATCTTTTGGTATGTTGTTTCTAAGGGCCTGAAATTTTAGACCAGCTTCTAAATTTACTATTTTTGTCATTTCTTGATCTTTTACCTTTTCAGTAAGTAGTAGATTATTTCTATTCACTTAAAGGGACAGCCGTGGAGTGTCTTTTTCTTTACTCAATGAACATTTCGTTCGCTATATTTACCTTTTTTACTTTGACTTAAAAGTCTGAATATTTTCACACTAAGCGTAGCGGCAGTTTTCTGTATCTAATCCACCCATGGGGGGTAAGTACAGAGGTTATTTGACCCCTTATCAAATGTATATAGATTTTTTCTTAAAAAATTCTTTATTAATTAAAGGAAATAAGTTGCAACATCATTTCTGATTTCCTATAAACACATATATCCATCGCTATATATATAAAAGCATAATTACATTATTTTTACAAAGGATGGGTGTCTCCTTCAAACATTTCCAGCATAGAAATTTTTTACCCATCTCGCATGTTTGTGCTGTTCCTGGATTGAGAATTATTAATGGAGCTGCTTGATATACCTTCTCGTTGATTTTCTCTTTCTTCTCTACAAATTTCGAGCTGAAATGAGAGGAAATTTGTTCACACCTAAACGTTCTCTTCTGTCATCGAACCCCAGAAATCTCAAAATTTCTGAGAAATCATTCCAACTCTTTGCATTCGAGAAAAAGTGAGTTCCCCATTTTGAATTCTACAGTTTGAAAATGGATAAATTTTTTCCCTGATAACTGCCGCGTGCATATAACACTACAATGAATGCCTATAAGTTTCTATAGGCA